CCTTACAATTACCGCCCTAATTATTACATTACACTTTCACAATTTAATCCCTTTATTTGCCTCACTGCCTTCTTGGGGCTAAGTAAGCACCACAGTGTGATGCCTGATGATGTAGCTAGCAGGGTAGCCTCACTGAGTGCTGCCCAGCTGCCAGCTACAAGCACAGCCAGGTGGGCAGGTCCAGAGTGCTAATCTGGACAGTGACATCTCTGTCTCCTGCTCAAAATCCTTGAAACTTGCTCTCTCCAATATGGAGTAAAACTGAGCACTGTACATCAATGCCAAGAATCATCCGGTGCTTTGCTCTGTTGCGCTTTTGGTAACATCACAGCTTTCTAAAACATAGTCACACGCAGAATTCCAGTTGTTCTGGTCTAATTACTGCTCAGTAATTACCACTGCAGAGCGACTGACATCCAGAGTACACTCCTATTTTGTTTTAAACAACTATCAGGAAGGATTTTTTTTTTTCCCCACAAAGTTGTCCCATCTTTACTATCTTTATAAAATGTGCTAACAGATAAAGAGTTTAATCCTCCACTTTAAAAATTTAGTATTTCCTTAAGGCAGGACCCATTTGCAGGAGGAATTTGCCTGAATCCATAACCTTTGGGAACAAAGCTTTAATAAAATGTTGATAAGAAGGAATTCCAGCCAGCACTGCCTGACCCACAGTAGGTGTTCAGTAAATATTTGTTGAGTAAATGGGACCGGTGTTCATGCTGAGAATCTCTTGCTTATATTAGCATACATGGAACTTGTTAATTTATCCCAAAATATTTGCTTATCTTTGTGTAGTTAGACTCAGAGCTGTGTAAACCAAGTTAACAAAATCAAATTACTAACAGTTCAAATTTTATATACTCTGTAACCATAAGGATTACAATACTGTTGAAGCATGACTGGTTACAACCCAGAGGTTGCAGATGTGTTTTCATCCTCAAGTTTTGCAGTGTTAGTAAATAGACTGAAGAGATTTTTAAAACACTATAAAGTGATACAAAGCTTTCAGTTTAGAGTACCATTGTTTTTAACTTGCTTACTTTATATATAATACATACCATTGTATCCTTAAGCAGTCTAGTAGCTATTAATTCTTTCTATTTGTAGACAAGGACAAGGAAAGTACAGATGAAGACTTTTCATGAGAAAATATGAATAATATATAGCCACCATGAGCCAGAAAATATGAAGATATACGTACTAAAATGTTTAGGGGATTCAAATGTATTTCCTACTAACTTGGCTTTGTGTTTCCCAGTTAAAACTATGACTAAGGTTATGAACAAATTAGACTTAAATACTGATTAAAGAGTTATGATGCATTGAAAAATTGTGTTCATTTAAAAATTTTTATTGATTGATCTATTTACTTACTTGAGAGGCAGAGAGACAAAGAGTCCCACAGAGAGATGTCCCTTCCACTGATTCACTTCCCAAAAGCTCCCAGCAGTGAGGGTTGGACCAGGGACAAAGCTCGGAGCCAGGAACACAACCCAGGTCTCCCAAGACAGTAGAAGGAACTCAATTCCTTGAGCTATCATTTGCTGCTTTCTAGGGTGAAAAGGAGCTGAAAACTGGAAGCAGAGCACAGCCAGGACTTGAACCCAGGCACTCTGATAGAGAACCTGGGATCCCAGCATCTTACCCCTAGCTCAAATATCCATCCTGAAAAATAGTGTGCTTTAAGCAAACCCTTTACCTGTGTTCTCACCAGCTGCAGACCAAGGAAGCTATGCAACAGGAAGCACAAAATCAAGGTGGAGATGATACAGCCTATGCCACCAAGGACAGGCACTACAATCTTCAGTGCAACTCATGGGGAGGAGCTACATCGCCAGACGTTCTTAAAAGGGTAGGGTGGGAGATGACTCTGGGTATGTAAATGATCTCAGAATCACCTTTTTTGTTAAAATCTTTAAGGGGATTAGAGCTCAACAAACATCACTTCTTTTAAAAACCAGTATAGCACAAAGTCATTAAAGGTCCACAGAAAACCATTTTCAGTATGTCCAACAAAGGACCATTAGATGACCATGGTCAGATGTCAGTAGAAATCAGCAGCAGCACAGGGTAAGAACAGGGGGTCTCAAAGCTGGCTAAGCATCTGAGCTACCTGGAGAGCTTGGTAGCAGGGACTGCTGGGCCCACCCCTGGAGATTTAGAGTTAATCTTGGATGTGGCCCAGGAATGTGCATTTCTAACAAGTTTCCAGGTGATGCTGATGCTGGAGGCCCAGCCAGCACACTTTGAAAACTGCTAGGATAGAATACAGAACAGCAAGTACACAGTGCAGTGGTTTTCAACTTTGGCTTTACGTTAAGCATCCTGGAGGAAGCTTTCAAAAATCCTCCTTGCCCCAGCCATGTCTATCACTGATTAAGTCATAATCTGCAGGCATAAGCCTGGCATCAATAGCTTTTTGAAAACATTTCCAGGTGACTCTGATGACCTAGCGAGCTTGAGAACAATAGACATGTGTTCATGACTGGTCGTTAAAAACGTGTATTTTTTAAACCACAGAGTAGTGTGCTGTGACCCTCAAGAAACAATTATTCTTGCCTCCTCCCATTTTCTTCAAATGTGTATCACAAAATATCTAAATTAAAGGAAGAAAAGGAAGAATGAGGATGATTGGTGGAGGAGGGGGTGTGGGAAGTATGGTTATTAGAACTGTAACTATGGGGGCCGGTGCCATGGCTCACTAGGTTAATCCTCCACCTGTGGCGCCGGCATCCCATATGGGCGCTGGGTTCTAGTCCCGGCTGCTCCTTTTCCAGTCCAGCTCTCTGCTGTGGCCCGGGAAGGCAGTGGAGGATGGCCCAAGTGCTTGGGTGCCTGCACCTGTGTGGGAGACCAGGAGGAAGTACCTGGCTCCTGGCTTTGGATCGGCGTAGCTCCGGCCATAGTGGTCATTTCGGGGGTGAACAAACAGAAGGAAGACCTTTCTCTCTCTCTCTCTCTCTCTCTCTCTCTCACTAACTCTACCTGTCAAATAAATAAATTAAAAAAGTTTTTTTTTTTTTTTTTTTTTTTTTTTTTTTTTTTTTTTTTTTGACAGGCAGAGTGGACAGTGAGAGAGAGAGACAGAGAGAAAGGTCTTCCTTTGCCGTTGGTTCACCCTCCAATGGCCGCCGCGGCTGGCGCGCTGCGGCCAGCGCACCGCGCTGATCCGATGGCAGGAGCCAGGAGCCAGGTGCTTTTCCTGGTCTCCCATGGGGTGCAGGGCCCAAGCACCTGGGCCATCCTCCACTGCACTCCCTGGCCACAGCAGAGAGCTGGCCTGGAAGAGGGGCAAGCGGGACAGAATCCGGCGCCCCAACCGGGACTAGAACCCGGTGTGCCGGCGCCGCTAGGCGGAGGATTAGCCTAGTGAGCCGCGGCGCCGGCCAAAAGTTTTTTTTAAAAAAAGAACTGTAACTATGAAATACATGAAATCTGTTCTTTTTGCATTAATAAAATTTTAAAAAGAAAAAAAAGTGGTGAAGTTTAATTTTCTGCCAGAATATATAGTTATAGCTTTTTGTAATGAGCCAAGTTCTGCATTTGCACATCACTAATTTAAAGGAGAACACAAAAACTTCAGGCATAGTGCTCTACATTTTGTGTAGGAAAATAATAATGTTACTTATAAATCTGGAGAAATAAAGGTTTGGGTATGTTGCACATATGTATTGCTATATTTGGGATCACTGGAATAAGTATCATTTCATTAGTATAATTCAAAGGGTATAGAAAGTATATCCAAGGGCAAGGTGCTGTGGTGTAGTGGGTAAAGCCGCCACCTGCAGTGTCGGTATCCCATATGGGTACCAGTTCAAGTCCTGGCTGCTCCACTTTGTAGCTCTCTGCTATGGCCTGGGAAAGCAGTAGAAGACGGCCAAAGTACCTGGGTCCCAGCATCAGCATCGGAGACCTGGAAGAGACTCCTGGCTCCAGATTATCCCAGCTCTGGCCATTGTGGCCATTTGGGGAGTGAACCAGCAGAATGGAAGACCTCTCTTTTTATCTCTCTCTCTGCCTCTGCAACTCTGCCTTTCAAATAAAGAAATCAATCTTTAAAAAAAGAAAAGCAAGTATAACCAATAACAGGGAAAGAAGGAAGATGAGGTAATAATGAAGTTTGCCTACAGCATTGGTTCTCAAAGTGTGGTCCCTTGACTGGCAGCATCATCATCACCTAGGATTTGTAAGAAAAACACATTCTTGAGTCCCCATCTAAGAGCTAATAAATAAGGAACTTTGTCTCTGGGACCTGGTAATCAGCATTTTTTAAAATAAGATTTCCAGGTGATTTTAATCCATGCTCAAGTTTGATAACCACTGTCTAAACTATTTATTACTTCCATGCATATAAAAGAACCAAAGGGGTAGAAAGCACTATTAATCTAAAGTGTAGTGGGCACTGTGGCATAGCAGGCAAAGCCGCCACCTGCAGTGCTGGCATCCCAAATGGGCACCACTTTGAGTCCCAGTTGCTCCACTTCCAATCCAGTTCTCTGCTATGGCCTGGGAAAGCAGCAGAAGCTGGCCCAAGTCCTTGGGTCCCTGCACCCATGTGGGAGACCTTGAAGAAGCTCCTGGCTCCTGGCTGCGGATGGAAGACCTCTCTCTCTCTCTTTCTGTCTCTGCCTCTCTGTAACTCTATCTTTCAAATAAAATAAATAAATCTTTAAAAAAAATCTACAGTGCATTTGTTCAGTTGCTATGCATACCCACATTGCTCTAACAATAGGTATACTTTTAAAAACTCTACCCCAAAGCTTATTATCATTGCATTATGAGAGCTTAATTGTGCAAGTAGAATTAATGGAGATGGAGTATATCTTGGGGGAGTTTATTCTATAAATCCTCCATGATCCATGGTAGTCTACTTCTGTTTTCTACTTTAGAGAGAATTAAGACTGTGAAACTTGACTTTCAAAGAAGAGAAGCTGGGGGTAGGGGGGAAATCATGTGAGGTTGGAAGGGAGAAGGGAACTCCCAAGTCCAATACTAACCTTGAATTGTCCTCTTGAAGAATGCCTTGCAGGCTTCACACGACGCCACCCCATAGTGGTACCCAGAAGCGATGTCACCACAAACTAAACACAGTCTCTTGGGCATCGAGTTGAGCATGTATTCGCACTTGGTCTGGGGGTCTTCGACAATGGTGCTGGAGCAGTCATCGTACAGTTTCCTGACAGGTCCGCTACCTCCCAGGATAGGAGCAGAAGGGTAGAGAGGTGGCGAGTCGAGTCCGTTCTGATGGCCATTCATGGTTGAACTGTAGCTCCCACTGGCGTCTGAGGAGCCACCAGGGCTGTGGTGGTTGACGCTGTCCGTCAGGGAGGCTGGGCTGGAGGGTTCCGTCTTGATGAAGGACGAACAGCTGGAATCAATGTGCCGATCTTTGTTTGACATTCTGCAGAGAAGCCTGAATGGAGGGAGACACAAGTCAGGAGAGAAAGAGGAGAGAGTGTCATATACACAGTGCAAAAGAGGGAGAAACAAAAAGATGGCGAAAGGAGGGAGAAAGCGAGAAAGAAGGATGGAAAGAGGAAAAAAATACAAGACTTTGTATGTTGAAGACATTGCTGTTTGAGAGTGCTATCTAAAGGGCCGGGGACCGCACATCACTCATTCTGTAGTCAATATCTCTTGTTCTACAAGAAGGTAATCAGCATAAGGGCATGACAGGGTTACATCAAAGGGCCCAGACAGGCCATAAACAAAAGCTCTAAAGGGTCCGATCGCTTTTATTTTTCCTTTCTCTTGGAGAACCACTGTCGATATCTAAATCAACTCTCTTGCTTCTAAATTGACCCGTGGAAGAGTTGGTGAATTGCAAAGCCCATATCATTTCTAACATTGCATTTAACCTCACTCCCCTTCTCCCTCCACATTCTGATGCTGCATCACTGTGTTATGAGCAGAATCAAACTTTTATTTTCAAGACTGAACAGATGATCTTCAGCACTGTAATTACTGTCTGTCAGCACGCTTCCATAAGCATAACTGTGTCTTTTATTGATCAGACTAAGACACATAGGGAATATATCCTCAATCGCTTTGTTTCTTTATTTAAATTGCTCTATTGCATACCCATTTAGCAATATAGAAAGACATCAAGGATGAAATTCTAGCTGATATTTAAGGATTATTTCCTGGCGCGCACAAAACTTAGTGAATAATCACCAGTGTTGATTAATAAATGTTTGCAGGTGTGTGTGCTTGTTCTTATGTGTGACTTGCCACTGTTGAAGAGATGGATCAGTAAAAGCCCTTTGAGCCTGCAGTATACCCGTGGGTCCATCAGTCTGTTACTTTACATCTAGGAAAATGTGACTTGAAAGAATGAGAGCTGTGATGGTCCTTCCTTTCCCCTTTTCGTTTTGCCTTTCCACACCATACCTCCTAAAAGGAAGTAGAGGAAGCTTCTCGCTGACAAACTATTTCTCTCTTATCTGAACGAAACACTTTGCCCCTCTTTCTTTGTTGGACCCATCAGTGATTGGATTTCTGAAAAGGTAATTAGATGAAAAAATAATTGGTCATATTTTCTTTCTGCTTAGCCATAGTGCAAAACCCCTTTTAGCAACATCTCTAAGACCCTTTGGAGAGCCTGCTATAGAAAGAAGAGGTGACAGTTGAGAAAGGGGCTTAGGTAATTGCTTCCCAGTGGAAAGTTGATTTATAGGACCCCCCACTGTGCAAGGGCCATTCACTAGAATTTGGGGGAGTAGTCCCAGCATAAGCAAAGGATGCAATTATCTTGTTCCCTATAAATCTAATGCTATTTTATCACTGCACAGATTTCACACTCTCCTCCAGGTCTCCCTGCCCCCATTGTTCTGTGACTTTACAGTGGAGGAAGACATGGAAATTTCTCTCAGGCATGTTCACTCTACTGTTCTAAGAAGGCACTCTCGGCAGCAAAGCAGGAAGGCAAGAATGTGCCTCTTAGCTCTATCTCACTCCACTTTCTGAGGTCAAGCAACATCCGGACGTGGAGAAAGTGAGTAGGAAGAAGAAAAGTCACCAAAATATCTCCAGCTGTCACCCACTCGTGTGTGCTGTCATTTTCTCAAGCATCGGCAAACGAAAAAATACCCCCCTCGCCAGCCCGAACGCTAGCATCCTGTCCTTCCACGCCCGCTGCCTCGCACCCGTCACTGTTAATGAGCATGGTAATTAATAGCTCGCTCTCCTTGTCTCCCTGCTTGCACTCTGGGCTAAGCACTCTCCTCAAGTCAACGTTTGAAAGAAAGCGGGTCGCCACTGACTTACAGCAGCCCTGCGAATTCCTTTTAATTTAGAGCACTTATACCACCACTTCACTTATTACCTTATAATTACTGGACTGCTCGCACATACATTATGATCTTAGACTACAGTTAGAAGTTATTAGGGTACTAAACCACGGTTGCTCCTCTCTCCTCTCTCTGGCACTGAATTTCTCACAGCTATGACAATTAACTCTTTCACCATCTGCCTGCAAGGCATCATGGCTCTTTCTTCTTTTTCTTTTTCCCCAGAGAATTGCTTGGCGTTACTTGATCACAAAACATATTCTCTGAGACCTCCACCCCCTTGTGTCTCTGTCTCTCTTTCTCTCTCTCTTTCCCTCTCTCCCCCCATTTTCTCTTTTTGTGCATCAACCATGGTTACTTTCTTCCAAGTTTGCTTCCCCTCCCCTTCCACTTTTCTCACTGATTTCTATTATTTGCAGAACTTTTCGTGTAAGGAACAAGACCAGAAACTACTTTCTCGTTTTTGAAACAGTTATTTGCCAGGTCACCAAATGTTTATGTGTCAAATGTGTGTGGTTAAAGTTCCTGAAAAATGGAGTGTCTCCAGCCAGCTGTCCCTTCTAACACCTCAGCCCGTAACTTCCCAGTCAGGGAAGTCCTTGGAATAGTGGCCAGAGCTTCTCCTAGCAAAGTCTGGCCACGTGTGCAGTAAATCAAAGTGAACCAACTGGCTTTGCGCTATAAGTTGTACATGTCTCTTTTCCAGCAAGGAATCGCTTCCTCCATCGAAGCCTTCGTCCAGGGGAAATGCTAACAGGGCTGTCACTGCTCACCATGCACCAGGCACCAAGCTGAACACTTATTACATCATTGAACCCCCAAGACACCCTTGAGCAGGAGGTATTTCTCTAAGAAAATGAGACTCAGACATTCTGAAACTCACTGAACATCATACAGCTAGGAAGTAGCTGTATGTACTTGGATTTGACTCCAAAGATGGGAGCGGAAATGTCTTACAGGCATAAGAGCTTTGAATGGTATTTTTTACTCATTCTTTAACAAGTAATCAAGCACACAGAGGCAGAGGTAGTACATGGAAAGATCTCTCGCTTTCCCTTCTCAGCAATTACACCCACAGCTAAGGGGGCCCCCACCCCGGCTGCAGGTCTGCCCCGTGGAATCACCCTCTCGGGGTTTGGATTGACACCCAAACACAATCTCTGAAGGAACACAGTTGTCTCCTAATTACTACTTAGCTCGTTACACTGAGCACTTGCAAGACACCATTACATTATAACCTAAAACTACAGCAAGCCTTAATTCTCTCTCTCTGTCTCTGCAATTCTACAGCTCTATTATTCAAGCCTGAAATATTCACAACTATCTATAAATTCAATTGTCAGCGGGTGGGTTTTATTCTAGACTTCACTTCAATCTAAAATTAGAGGCACTAAAATTCACATTAACTCTAAGAGGAATGTAGTGAATAAGACTTTATTTCAAAAGAACACCTTTTTGTCAGAAAGAGCCATTTTCAAAATGATGACTTTATCTGTAGCCAAAGAGAATAAGCCCCATTCCACATTGTGCTGTTAATGCAAAAATTTTAGGTCACATTGGATTAATAAAAATCTAAATTTAGTTAAGAATTATGAATAGAAATAACATGTGTCAAAATATGTGGGAAATATTTATTTTAAAGCCTTCGGATGGTGACTTTTATTTTATGATTTTAAGAGAAATAATTGAGAAGGACAAGGGAGTAAGACAAGCTGCTATCCAAAAGCTCTGAATAAACACGCTGAGAATAAACTGCAGTGGGAAATAACTGTGTCAAGAATAACATTGAGTTTTTATATATAAGACCCGGAGTGTGAGGAATCTAACAGCCTTCCGGAAACTTCAGGGCTTTAAAAAGCATTTTCCACCAAGTGTAAGATCTAGTCTCAGACAATTATGATCATCATACACTTCATCATAGGAACTTAGTTTCTCAGCCCTGCCTTAGGGTCAGGCGGGGGGTAATATTTATCTTCAATGTCAGATACTAACACTCAGGCAAACAAAATCTTTCAGCTGCTGGACAATTAAAAGATATAACTTTTGAAGGTTAATTAACCACGTGTGCCTACAGAGAGAGAGAGAAAGTGAGGGGGAAAAAGAAAAAGAAACCATGAAAGTTGCTGCTGTAGGGAAAAAGAGGAAGATAATTTGTGAGTTAAAAATTCAGTTACACTGTAATGATCAAGCTGAAGTGTTTTCAGAGATTCTGCCCAGCTCAGGTAATTGAGTAATCTTGAATGAAATGTCATGAGTTTGAATTTCCACACACACGTATAGATGTCTAGAGTGATCCACATTTCAAAGAAAGGACTTGGCCAATGATTTTATTTGTTAAATGCTAGCATAGCAATAATGCTCCATAGGGTAACATGGTCTTAATCCTTTCATTGAAATACAGGTCCTTAACAAACTGCTCTATTTTATCTTCTGAATTTTACACAGAACTTGGTTTGCTTGCTACTTTCATTTCTCACTAAAAGAAAAAGAGAGTACATAACATATACATCTATGTATAGCCCATCTTAGTCCCTTTTAAAATTTTTATTTATTTACTTGCAAGACCAAGAGGTACGCAGATAGACGCGGAGGTCTCCCACCCACTGGCTTACTCGGCAGATGGCAAGGGCTGGACCAGGGCTGAAATCCAACTATTGTAGCCATCACTGCTGCCTCCCAGGGTCTGCATTAGCAGGAAGCTGGAGACAGGAGTCAGGGCCAGGAATCGAACCCAGGTACTCAGATATGGAATGTGACTGTCCTAACTTCTGTCTTAACTGGCAGGCAAATGCTCACTCCAGACCTTTTTGAGAAGTACACTTCATAGAGACCTTCTGAAACTTTGAAAACACCTGTACCCGTGCCAGACATCTTCATAGGCTAAATAACCATCAACAAATCACTATTTTATTTTCTTCTTTGTCATTCTAAAGGGCCTGAAATGATCCCCAGGATCACAATAAATTGTAAATGCTTTAGCAAAGTTATTTTCCCTATTTTTGTATGGGGAACACTGAAGTCAGCACACCTGCAAGTTTGCAAACATAGAGCAATAAGAGGAGTCCCCAGCTCCTCTCATTGAGTCAGAGAACTTCAGGACTGGAAAGGAAGACTGTTTGTTAAA